GCCAAAAAAGCATGATTTTTCAATTGACTTGCCTAATATCCAGAACAAAGCGCCGCCTTTCGAACACCCACTTCCCCAATGTCAATTCTGCATTTGACATCCCGATAATGTCTGGGGAATTCCGGACATATGGCAGCCCTACTATTAACACCATGGCAACTGAGAAGTTCCTGATCACATAAGCAAAGTCGTTTTCTTAATGTTTCTAGTGTACTGTACAGTACTCCAGGACCAAGGATGTAGCTTATAGAACAGTTTCTGACAAATAATACTCTTTGGTGAATGACATAGTTAGAACTGACATACTATTAATTACTTAATAGGATTATAGCGTTCCTTTCAATAGATACGTAGGCAAAAATTAATTTAAAACAGTTACTTTATAGCATAGTGAATTAAATTAAATTTCTGTCTTCACCTTGTTATCATGAGAGAGAAAAAGCAGAAAGTTCACTGGGAACAGGATTGAGTGGATCCAAAACAAGTCTAAGTTTCAAATTGAAGCCAAAAATAGTGTTCTCGTATGGGGAAGGGACTTTTCTGAAACACAGGCATTCCTAGTTTCGCTTAACATTCCCATTCCTCTCCACCCACCCAAATTGAAATGTCAAGCTGCTGAATGTGTTCATCCCCCCCCCAGACAGTAATGGGTTCTATGTAAATTTCTTCAGGCGCATAGAGATAACCTAAAATACTAACTAGACTGTACTCAGATACATGGAACAGGGCAGATGTTCCAGAAAACAGATTGCCCTGTGGTATATAATATATGTGAAACGAGGATAGAAATCTAGCTGGTAGATTAATGGGAGGGACACTCAAAGATTTCTTGGCCAAAATAAATAAATAAAATCTAGTAAATCTTTTCCAAGTTAAGAAGAAAACACGATAGGGTTTGCCTTTGTACTTAAGATCTTCCTTCTGAGGGTACACATACAGGCCAAATTTTGCCAATCTTTGAGGTGCATCCTTGATTAATTACAAGTATTGCTTGCACTTTCAACCATATATTCTTATCATGCTGTGATTCATATAAGCACTGGTAGACTAAAGTCATTTCCATATTTTTCTGCCATTTTTATAGAATTGAAACAAGACAGAAGAAAGAGCCATTCATAGTAATTGAGACAGAGATTCTAATTTCAGGTTTATTCAGATCTTTGCTTTAACAGAGAGTATACATTACCTAGGGACTCGGGTGGCGCTGTGGGTAAAACCTCAGCGCCTAGGACTTGCCAATTGCATGGTCGGCGGTTCGAATCCCCGCGGCAGGGTGAGCTCCCGTCGATTGCCCACCAAGCAGTTCGAAAGCACCCTTAAGTGCAAGTACCGGTAGATAAATACGTACCGCTTTATAGCGGGAAGGTAAACGGCGTTTCCGTGTGCTGCTCTGGTGCCGGTTCGCCAGAGCAGCTTTGTCACGCTGGCCACGTGACCCGGAAGTGTCTGCGGACAGCGCTGGCTCCTGGCCTCTAGAGTGAGATGAGCGCACAACCCTAGAGTCTGTCAAGACTGGCCTGTACGGGCAGGGGTACCTTTACCTTTACCTTATACATTACCTATTTTTGTTGAACTGGACATTTGCATCCAGGACCAATTTATACATAGCAGCTGACTTGTAGCAATCTGCCAACTGCTCCCAAATTTAACAAATTTGCAAATCAGATTTGCTAGGATTTTAAATAGGCCAAATTGCAAGGCTGTGATGTCATGATTTCCTGCACACCCATTTCAAGTATTTATCTGGAATTATTGAAAACATAATTCTTTTTTTAACCTGAACTATGCGGCTCCGGACAGGCTTTCATTAGTTCCGTTACTGTGACCTTTCAGATGAGTGCTAGAGGAAAGTGCTGTGTAGTGGGTGGTTGCCAGTCTACACTGCTATGCAGATAAGTAGGAAACATGAACTGACCTTGAAATCATCATTTGAGGCCCTTTGTGTGCCTCTTCCACAGGAAGTTTGCAGGGTGGCAACACAAGATAGGACTTCTGTGGTGGCCCCCGGCTTGTGGAATGCTTTCCCCAGGAAGGCCTGCCTGGTGCCATCTTTTTACACGGACACTGTATACCCAGATTGTCATGGATGGGACACAAAATGTTTTGTATGCTTCTTCCTACAATACCACTGTGTAGTCAGTACTGACTTGCCCATAGTTACCTGGAGGTTCCAAGTATAATATGCTCTTGAATGGCTTTTAGTGTAATTTTGTAAAAATACTATATTTGAAACTGATAATTTTACTGTGTATAAAATAATAACCTTGTGAAATGGTATCCATTATATGAAACTATGACATACATTACATGGTACTGTGGCCTGTGCAGAAGAGACACACAGAAAGAGAAGTTCACTTCTTGATATGTGCAGAAAATCCTCACATAGGCCTATGGACAATGCAATTTTATATTGAAAGGATTGCACACAGGGTGAAAAACAAGTGTTGGAGTTCAGCAAAGGATTCTGACTGGAAGCCATATGGAATGAGGAAATCGGAGTAAAACAAGAATGTGAGGCATGGAGTTCAAAAAAGGGTGGGAGAATATACCTTCCTCCTTGGGACAAACTTCATGCAGAGATAGAGTTTCCATGGTTTTTTTTCTTGACAGGGTTATTTACTTTTAAAGGTTGCTTGATGAGAAAACAATATCAGCAACAAAAAACAGCAGATGCAGATTTCCCTAAAACTACATTTGGGGGGAAAACTGCAACAGTTAAGTTCCTACCAGTCATGCAGCTTTTAAAAGGCATAGAAGCGGTTCCTGAACAAGATGTCAGTTCTCTTACTATCTTCTTTATCTGGCTATCCTCAATATGGCATACAAAAACAAGCAGGCACAGTGTGGGAAAAGCTTCACCTGCTTGTATTCTTCATATTAAAAGCAGATTAATGCTGCTAGGAAAATGAGGTGCCAGATTTACAGATGAGATCTGTGGAATTTGTAGGATGTCAAGGGTGTGTAAGTCATACTCAAATCTCAGGGCTGTAGATCATTTGTAGAGCATCTGTTCAGCATGTAGGCAGTCACAGGTTCAATCACTGGCATCTCCAGGTTGGACCAAAAAAGACCCCTACCTGAAATCCTAGAGAGCTGCTGCTGTTAGTGTAGACGATGCTAAGCTAGAAGGACCAGTTGTGTGACTCGGGTAAAAGACAGCTTCCTTTGTTCTGAAGGCTTTTGTACTCTTAAGAGATGGATATTTGGGTGAGCTCCCATCAGGTGTAGCTGTCGCCATTACTGCAACTCGTATGATGAGAAAAGGGACGTGGGTGGCGCTGTGGGTTAAACCACAGAGCCTAGGACTTGCCGATCATAAGGTCAGCGGTTCGAATCCCCGCGACGGGGTGAGCTCCCGTTGTTCGGTCCCTGCTCCTGCCAACCTAGCAGTTTGAAAGCACATCAATGTGCAAGTAGATAAATAGGTACCGCTCCGGCGGGAAGGTAAACGGCGTTTCCGTCCACTGCTCTGGTTTGCCAGAAGCAGCTTAGTCATGCTGGCCAAATGACCCGGAAGCAGTACGCCAGCTCCCTCGGCCAATAAAGCGAGATGAGCACCGCAACCCCAGAGTCGGCCACGACTGGACCTAATGGTCAGGGGTCCCTTTACCTTTACCTTATGATGAGAAAAGTATTGCCTGGTGAAATTCTTGATTCTGTGCTAATCCAAGTACAGGACACTATTCCTGTTTAGAAATCTTAATCCAAGAAGCAATAAAAATAGGAATTTCATAAACTGATATTAATTAACTAGCCATTTGTACTTGGGCCAGGCCAGGCCTGGGTCAGTTTCTCAATCGGGGGTAGATTTAGGGGAAGGTGATTTAAGCAACTACCCAGGGTGTCAGGTTTGAGGATGCCTGCCTTGGACAATCTTCTCAGCTATTAATGGTTGAAAAAAATAGTACAATTTGTTCATCTTCACATGAAAAGCTGGCAATGGTGCCCTACATGGCTAAATCATGCAATACGAAGTTGTGAACTGGACTGGAAATGCAATAAAAACAAAGTATTCCAAAGCCGAACAAATGAAAGGGAGTGCCAAAAACTCCATGCCTGAGTGTTAATTGGTCTGGGGGTACATCTGCAGGGTGCTGGGCTGCAGCATGTTAGAGACCCACACTGTACTTTGGCTGCCTCCCTTTGTCCATTGCAGGAACTCAGAGACAGAAGTGTCACCCATTGCTGAGGGCCATGGCAATGTGGGGAGGGACCTTAGCCCAGCCTGTTCCCAGCCTTGCTTTACCTCCTTCCCCTTCTAAGCTACAGTCTAGTAGAGCCGGCCACTAGTTTTCTGTGGTAATGTATGCATATAGTTGTAGATCATTTATATATTTAACAGATTTCTATACCGCTTTCTGCAAAATGCATCAAAGCAGTATGTAGCAATTTAAAACAATAAAACTACGTAAGAAATATACAACTGGCCAAGAATAAATAGCAAAACATAACTAAGGGGTCTATAAATGCTTTGGCAAGAAATAATGTTTCCAGTTGCTTGTGGAAGCACATCACGGAAGGTGCCTACCAGATCTCTTGGGGGAGACTTCCCTAATGAGGGAAACAGACTTCAACTTGACAGCTGTGGCACTACCAAGAGGGCTCCTCTAAAGACATCAAACAAGCAGGTTCAGATGGGAAAATATATTTTCTTAGATATCCATTTCTCAAGTTGTTCAGGGTCTTGTAAGTAAATAGTAAAACCTTAAAACTGGGGTCCTTTAGGATAGATGTTATATGCATGCAGTAGAGAGCAGCAGTGAGCAGCTTAGCTGCAGCATTCTGTACCTGTTACAGCTTTTGAACCCCACAAAGAGGGTGTTACTGTTATCTAATTTCAAGGTTACCATTGTGTGAGTCACTGTTGTCTATATGTGTATGGCTATAACTTGGTGGTATGCAGAAGGTTACAGACTGAATCTCCTAAGTGAGGGAAAATCCAACTGCAGAAAGACAATACTCAGCTGTCACTGGTTAGAACACTCAGCTGATCAAAAGTTACTGTAAATAGAGAGAAAACAGTGCTGAGTATGAAATGCTGATTTAGAAGACTTTTACAAACAATATTTGCATGGAAGCAATATTGGTAGGCATAATTTTTTACCCACTTATTTCAGTTATGCCACTGGATTTTCCAAATCACAGATCATCAAAGTCAAATCATATCATGTTCCCACTGTTTTCCAGGAACCTCATATGTATTTTGCGGAATAAATGCAAAAATGAGCACAGATGTGTAACACAAGTTTATACTATGCTTCAAAGTACCATTTTACTCCTATATTCAAAGCAGCATGCAATAATGTTTGCCCTGTTGTAAAAATATGCTGTTGCTAGTCTACATAATTTGCAGGTTAGTGAACAATGAGAACATTTTATAAATAAACAATATATGTTAGGAAGAAACATGTTGAAAAGCATCCTCTATTTTTAATTATCTTGTTCTGGAAAGAAATAGGAAATCTTTATGATACAATATTGTTTTTCCTTAGTTGTCATGGATGATGACGATGATGAATCCTGTCTCTTTGATCTTATTGGGTAAGATATTTTTTAAAAAAAGAAATTATGCAGAGAAATAATATAAAGTTCACTTTGCAAAAAGAAAATTTGCACAAATAGTCTATTTTTGTCTGTTAGAAAAGGGGCATAACTGTCCTAATCCCCAGATCTGCTGGCTGGAGAAGGTTAGAATTTCATGAAGGTTCCTCCCTGCTGGTGGAGAAGGTGTCCTACTCTGTGGGTGGGGCAGGCATCTCTGCAGTGAAGTCCCCCACTTTGCCCATGGAAAGTGCTGCATGTTTACTTCTACCACTGGTGTTGCTGCTGCTTACAGTAGCAAGTGTTAGACCACAAAATGGGTGGTGTTAGCAAGTGTTAGACCACAAAGCACCTTCATTCTCAAAGAGGCTCCAGGTTTGGGCCTCCTATTTGTGCTAACATGAAGCTGGCATAAATAATTCACCTCTTTGAATCCAGTAGGGAGATTTTGTTTTAAAAGTGCAGAATATAAACACTGGGTAAGAACCATCTCTCTCTGCCTGGTTGGCAGAACCCAGTCCCTATTAGGATAGCACTCTAGGGCTGAAATCAGGTGCACACTTACTTAGGAGTAAATCCCATTAATCTCAGTGGAACAATTCTCAATGAAGTTTTATTGAGTTCTTTTTTTGACAAAAATGGGGGTATAAGTTTTTTTAAACAAACAAATATGCTTTGGATGCATGTTATGATATATTTGAGTTCTACTGTAAATGAAAGAAATGCTTATCATTTATTTACAGTTATTTATTCACGAGTATATAAGGCACCTTTGTAAACCACTTCGAGGTTGTTGTTTTTAACAAGCAATGTATAATTTTTAATGAAATTAATAAATAATTCAATAAAAATTATCCCAAAGGCATACAAGATATTTAAAATTTACAGTAAAAGAAGTAATGACAAATATTACCTTAATATATATTAAGGGCCTCTTAGACATACTTGAATTTCCCCATAGGAGGAGGGTCCCTGAAAGTAGTGACTGAATGTAGTTCTCTGATGCTCCATTTGGCACCTCCAGCACCAACCTTTTTACTTAAAAGGTCAGTTTTGGTGCGGCTAACAGAAGTACCAGAGAGTGGCACTCTGCCTCCTTTCTTCCCACCAGCTTGATCACTGCCTTCTTAGCCTTGGTCATTTCCCCCAGGTGGGAAAGGGACTTAACAGTGGTGAGCAGCAGCAGAGGAGTGGGAAGTGGCAGCAGGAAATAGCATGAACAATGGTGGCAGTGGTTTGGGAGCTAGTGACAAAGTATGTAGATAGCAGAAAGTGCGTCCACCGTAGATAGGTCTCTTGCCAAAGGCCCCAGCATTTGGAGCTGGTCCTTCACAAAACAACATCCAATGATTTAGGGAATAAACAGAGTTATAGCCAGCTAAGTCAGTGGGCAAGTTAGTCATTAATTTCAGTGGTTCACCTCTGAGTATGTCTTACTTGGTTCAGTCCATAGTTGAGAGCTATTTTAAAAACAATGTAACAGTTAAATATATTGCTTTATAAATATATATTTACACTATTGATAGGGTTTGTTGCAAGCAAGCCAGGGTTGTTGCTTTGAGATGCATGCTCTAAAATAGTTGGGGATCACAGCCTCAGTATTCAGAGGGTGTGATTCAGTAAGGTTCTTCCTGCTTGTGCCATTTTAGTATATTTTAAACAAATGCAAGATTCTCAGACTGGACTGATCCATCTTACTTTCCTTGTTTGTATTTTTAAAGAGATGCACAGGCACTGAATTATTTCCTCCATGGAGCAGGCAGTAAACCTGTAAGTATCATATATTCTGGTATGTTAAATATACATCTAATTTTACAAATTGTGCTGCTCTTATTGTAATGCCTTTTCTGTATTACAGAACAGTGAAGACTTGACTAATGCAGGATATTCTGCAGCCAACTCAAATTCCATATTCGCCAATATCAGTGTAAGTTTATAGGAAAAAGTGTAATTTTAGTGCATGTTAGTGTGTGCCTAAGTTCTCCATTCTTATAATACTCCTATCTGGGTGAAGTAAAAGCCAAAAATAACATGCAGGCAATTGCTATTTAAACCAAAGGATTGAATATGGGTGAAGAAGGAGGAGAATTCTGAGCCTGTGCACTTGTGCACTAAGCTTTTGCCACCAGTTTTTGCCTTTTGCATTGCTAGCATCTTGTTGCTTTCCCATTGGCCAGTAGGATTATTGAGAAGGAGAATTGTTGAGTTGGGTTTCAGTGCTGCTTTTCTATTGAGCTCTGGGTTTCCCTCCTACATTAAGTAACCTTTAATAGGGCCTCTGTGGGGAGGATGTGGACCAAGAGGTCTCCCTTTACACCTGGTTCAAACTTCTTGCTCAGTCTCATTTTGGGTTAATGCTGCATGCCACTCATGGTCATTAATCAAATGATACCTGACTTAGTAGTATTCTTGAGAGATGTTTTGAAAGGGGGCAGGGAGAAACCTATAATGAGCAACACGGTACTACTACTAATAATTTGTTTTAAAATAGTATTTTATTGTTGTTGTTATTACATTTACATCCCACCTTTCCTCCAAAGAACCGTATGGTTCTCCCCCTCTCCATTTTATCCTCACAGTGCTTTTGTGAGGTAGGTTAGGCTGAGAGACAATGACAGGCTCTTCCATTGAACTTCATGGTTGAGTGAGGATTTGTACCCTGATGGTGTGTATTACAATTTTTCTTTCAGAGTTCTGATCCTAAGTCATCAATCAAAGGTGTCGGTAGTCAGCTTGGAGAAGGGTCTAGCGATGGACTACAGTTGCCAAGTAGCCTTCAGTTTCTTGATGATGAACTTGAATCTTCTTCCTTGCCTGATCTTAGTGAAGATCAGCCTTTTGATATCCTCCAGAAATCTTTGCAGGAAGCTAATATTACTGAACAGACTTTGGCAGAAGAGGCTTATCTGGATGCCAACATAGGCCCTAACCAACAGTTTGCACAAGCTCAGCTTCATCCTTCCTCATCAGCATCTTTTACTCAGGCTTCTAATGTTTCTAATTACTCAGGTCAGACGCTGCAACCTATAGGAGTTACTCAAGTGGTACAGCAACCAGTTGGAGCATCTTTTGCAAGCAATACAGTTGGTGTGCAACATGGCTTTATGCAACATGTGGGGATCAGTGTTCCTAGCCAGCATTTGTCAAACAGTAGTCAAATTGGTGGTTCAGGACAGATACAATTAATTGGTTCATTTAGTAATCAACCTTCCATGATGACCATCAATAATCTTGAAGGGTCTCATATTATTTTGAAGGGTGGTGGGCAGCAAGCACCTGGAAACATGAGTGGTGGTCTCTTGGTTCATAGACAAACACCTAATGGTAACTCATTGTTTGGCAACTCAAACTCCAGTCCAGTAGCACAACCTGTAACTGTTCCATTTAATAGTACAAATTTTCAGACATCTTTGCCTGTGCATAACATCATTATACAGAGAGGTCTTGCTCCAAATTCTAACAAGGTTCCCATCAATATCCAGCCAAAGCCTATTCAGATGGGCCAGCAAACTACCTACAATGTGAATAGCTTGGGAATACAGCAGCATCATGTGCAACAAGGGATTCCTTTTGCTTCGTCAAACTCCCCTCAGAATTCAGTAGTTGGTCCACATATGTCTGTTAATATTGTTAGTCATCAAAATGCAAGAAAAGCAGTTACCTCTCAAGCCGTAAGTAATGCCAGTGGTAGTATTGTGATCCATTCTCCTATGGGACAGCCTCATGCACCTCAGAATCAGTTTCTTATACCCACAAGTCTGTCAGTAAATCCTAATTCGGTTCACCATGTCCAGACCATAAATGGACAACTTCTTCAAAATCAGCCTTCCCAGCTTGTTTCTGGCCAAGTATCCACTGAGCATGTTATGCTAAACAGGAATTCTACGAACATGCTTAGAACTAACCAGTCATATTCAGGACAGATGCTGAATAATCAGAATGCTTCTGTACAGCTAGTTTCTGGTCAGACATTTGCAGCTCCTGGAAGCCAAGTTATAGTGAACCATGGGACTTCTCAAATTGTTAGTGGCCAGGTTCCACTACAACAGGGATCGTCTGCTGTGTTGCATTTATCCCCCAGCCAAGGAAACATTTCCCAAGGTAGAACAGGCTTTACCACAATGTCTCCTGGACAGTCAACAGGTTCCAGTATCTCATCAAGCAACCGGTTTACGGTTGTAAGTTCTGCTGCTACAGTGCATCCCAACATTGGTCCATCAGCCCAGACTGTTGCTTCCGGAGGAAATTTTGCTGGAGATCAACTTACACAGCAAAACAGAACACAATTGTCAGTCACTGTCTCACATCGTCTTCCAGTTTCTTCTTCCAAATCAGTGAACACCTTTAGTCACACATCGGCATCCCAGCCCCAGTTTTCCTTTGGCCAGGTATGGATTGATGCAAGTTCAAAATCTTTAGCATCTTTAAAATCTTTGCAGCTGCTAAATGTACATATCTATGATTTTATTGTTTTACAGCAAACAATGCAAACAAATAACACCCTAAGAACCTTTAGAATCTGTGTCAATGGATCAATACTTCTTGGTTGGAACTATTGGGTTGTATCCATTGTTGTGCATGGAGAAGATGGCTCATTTGCTTCCCCTGTAGCCTCCTGTACCCTCTGAAAAGCTTATTTAGAAGGTTGAAGGGGAGGCCATGGGCTGTGTCATATGGGGCAGCAGTGAGAGGTTGAAGGATTGCTGAAATTGGGCAGAGGAATCTTGTTTTAGTAGAGTTAAATTCTTGACATTAGAAGACCTGCCTCCTGACTGCACCACCATGTGACAGAACCCACACACAGGAAACTGCTTTATGCTGAATCCATCCAGCTCAGTATTGTGCACACTGACAGGCAGTGGCTCTCCAGGGTTTCAGACTGGCAACATTCCCAGTCCTAACTGGAGATACAAGGGATTAAAGCTGGGACCTTCTGCATGCAGAACAGGTGATCCGTTACTGAGCTACATCTCTTTTCTCCAGGAAGACACCTGGAGAAGCTTTTGGTGTAGGGGGAAAACGGGAAGGGAAAGATCCATTGTTTGAACTTGCTTTCTACTTGTGCAACGTTTAGTACAACCCATTATTTCTGTTCCTTCAATAAGTCTTGTTTAGTTGCTAAAAGTGAGGTTTTCAGAATTCTCCGTAGTGATTTAGATATTCATTTAAAAGTATTGAAGTCACATTGTAGCTGATTCCTGAATACTATTTATTGTAATTTGCACGTTGAGACTGCATGAGAGATAGAAAAGAGAGCTCTTGAGGTCAGACCATTCTCAAGTGAGTGAGAAATGATTCCATTTAATATATATTTGTACTACTTGTTCTCTGTATCTTTAAAGATCTGGAACAATTTAGAAGTTGATGATGAAAGGTATTGATTGAAAGTCCAGCAATGGAAAACCATGGCTTAACAAATTTCAGTTACAATCCAACATGGCTCAAGAAATTTGGGAAGTCTTTAATTCTTATGTGCAAGCAAAAGGTGGAAGGAAGGTAGAGCCTACTGGCAAAGTGCTTCTTGGTCTAATAAACCAGAGATGTTATATCTGAACTGTACAAGATGCCACAGATGTTTGTACTGATTGCTAAGATCATACGAGCCCTAAAAAACCCATATCTAGCCTTGCATCCTGTTTTGCACAATGGCCAACCTTTGAAAAAAGGCAATGATTTTGTGTGCCAACCTTTCAGATAAACAAATTCAAATTCTCTACCTATCAGAGCTCATTTTATTTGTACTGCAAGGTAATAAAACTGGAACTGCAGATAGAGTTTATATGTTTTCTTTTGTATATAGGATATTGGCTTTTCCTTATCTTTTACCTCTAATAATCTGCATGGTATTTATGTGTGGTGTCTTTTTTCAGACTCAAAAAAAAGTTACAAATTTGGTGTCTTCAGTTTCAACGTCAAAGTCGCAGGATAATCTAAGACCACCTCAACTAACAAGTCTTTTAGGTAATAAATTGCTAAGGCAGATAAAGTTTTTGTTTTTTAAATACCTTTATTTAACTTCTTAGCTATGAAGTGGATTCTTAACTACAGCAAAGGGTTGTCTTGAATATTACTTGAAAATTTGAACTTTCAGGTTGACGTTAAGCTGTGCTACTGAGAGTTAACACATATGTGTCAGATTCTTTTTTTTATTTATATGCAACTTCTAAAACAGTTTTCTCAAGGCGGCTTCCAATTAATGCAATAAGAGCTTTTAAAACCAATCTCTAGAAAACATTTAGCTTAAAATGGCAGCATGCAACAATTTCCAGTCAGACCGGTAAAAAGCTATATTACACTTTAAAACAGAGAGAAAATCCAGTTAAAATATGTATAGATAAATTTAGTTTAAGTTCAGTAGGGTGGAAATTTAGGAAATGCACTTCACAAATTGCTAAAAGTCTTCTGCAAATTTAGTTGATTCCCCCCATGGCTTTTACAAGTCATAAATGCTTTACAGAGAACCAACAATTTACCGAAATACATGAAAATGTAATGTTAGAAGGATGTTTTTATCGGCTGCAAAGAGAAGATGCATGAGCAACAGAGCTGTTTCCTGAAGTTAGCTCTGCACTAATTTCTCAATGCATGTATGGCCTTCCAGTATTGTCATTGTGCATCTCAGAACCATAGCTGTCAACTTTTCCCTTTTTTAAAGGGAAATTCCCTTATTCCGAATAGGATTCCTCTCAAGAAAAGGGAAAAGTTGACAGCTATGCTCAGAACATGGGTGAACTTCTGGGACTGTGTCTGCGGCCTAAGGCATTTAGTCGTATGTTAGTAGTAAACATAAACTTGGGAGCTGTGATTGGAGCACACATTTATTGTGGAACACACACATGCCCTTCAGATGCTACAACAAAAGTGTAGCTGGAAGTGAAGGAAGCTATCTTTTGTTTTAACCTTGAAGTGACCCTAAGATTTGAGACAAGCTGCATTAAGCTTGCCTGAGTAATTGAGCACATTAGTTCTTTGGGAACCAAAAAGAGAAAACTCACGTACTCATTGGAACTTGCTCTTGAAAATGTGTACTTGGGAGCAGAGCTTAAAGCAGTCTCTACAAATAACAGCAGAAGATATTTCAAAAAGAATATATATGTCAATATAGTAAAAAAAGAACATGATGCTTTGATTAATTTGCCTGACCGACCGAAGTGTGGGGGTGGGGGTAGACTGGACAGTACTTTAGTATGTGTGGTATTTACATCATGAAGACAGGGATTAGCTGGGCTCCCCATGCCTTTTTCATTGATACCTGTATACAGCTTTGGCATTCTGAAGTTCCATGAAATGGCAAGTGGTTAAATGCTGGCTTAAACCTCACAGGCTCATAAGATAGTTTTTATAAATATTTGTGTTTTGTATGGGCCTGCAGTAGTTTTGTGAAAGCATTGCTATTTAAATATGTTTGCCTATGTGCAAATTAATTTTAAATCATTCAGTGACATAACTAGACAGAAGATTCCAAATATTGTATAGGGGATTGTTAAAGAATCTTCATAATATATCTTCTTATAGGACAAGAGACTGGGGGCAAAATCATACAGCAGCCTATAGGCACAGCACTGACACACCAGGAAAAAGCAGTAGGATCATCTTCTGCCCAAACAAATGTACAGGTAGGAGGCAGTTTCCCCTTTCCCACCCTCCGCCTTTGAATGTTCCCGAAAAGGCTAATAGTGCACCAATCATTTCTTGTTTGTACTATTTTCTACATAGAATATAATAAGCTCTCCATTGGTCATTTGTGAGAAGAAATCCATGATAGTATATACTAAATATCCCATCACTTTTAAATATTAAATGAATATGTGCTGGCTAAGCTTGACGGTTGCTGGAGTCCAAATAAGCTGGAGGGCACAAGGTTGGAGAAGGCTGTGTTAGCATATCTGTTGGCACTGTAAGCTCTAGTCATGTGCTGTCTTTGTATCAGGCTGCAAAATAAAAATGCCTTTTTGAAAATCCAAAAATCTGGTCATATTGGTAATGCAGTCTATACAAAATGCATTTAAGAGGTTTTTTTAAAAAAAACACACCCATAATTTTATTATCTTAAAGAGATTTTGAGGCTATTTTTATTTCTGTTGGATGATATGCACAACTGTATAATTGATTTTTATAAAAGAAATTTAGCCCAGTGTATTTGATGCACGTTTTGAATCTAGGTCGATGGCCATACAATTGGACAAAAGAGGCCTGCTGCTAAACAACTAACAAAAGGAGCCTTGTAAGTTGTTTCCTTTTATGCATCCTTTTACTTTAGACATTTCTTCCTCTCTTTCCCTCCCTCAAATTTTGTCAAGTTGTTACACACATGTGGTGCTATTGTAAACAACTGACAATAGCAATCTTCCCATTAGTATTCTACAGCAGCTACAGAAGGACCAGGCACATGCTGTGACTCCTGATAAAACTCAGTTCAGATCTTTCAATGATGCAGTCCAGAGACTCCTCTCATATCATGTGTGCCAGGGATCACTGCCAACAGAAGAGGATTTAAGAAAAGGTACTTTTTCGCTCTCCAAATGGTTATGAAAATGCTATGCTTCTGGGGTTTTATACCAGTTACATATTATATATTGTACTAGGCAAAAAGTAAGAATCAAATGCTTTAAATGACTATTTTAGTTGTTAAGAACTCCTATTCTAAATGTATTTTCTTCACCTTTCCAGTGGATAATGAATTTGAATCTGTGGCCACACAGCTCCTGAAAAGAACACAGGCAATGTTAAATAAATACAGATGTCTGCTCTTGGAAGATGCTATGGTAAGACTAATAAAAAAATACATGTGTGCATTTGTGTATATTATGGATCTGTGCATCTTATCCCACATGGCTTAATTTATTGTAACACAGCAATGTGCAGCTTTCATCTAATTCCATGGCCCGTATCTCTCAACATGTGGTACTTAGGAATGTTTAGCACTAGCAATAGATTTCACTAAACAGATAATGTTATCATCCTGTGTTGACAAGTTAACTGGGTGAGAGCTTTTTGACTTCTGCCATGTTCCCCCCTCCCCAGAACTCTTAATGAATTTCAAAAAATGTGAGCAGGGGTTGGGGTCGGTCTCCCTTCACAAAGTAAGCTTGCTCAGAAGAACTCTCCTAGCCCATCAGGGATAAATGTACAGGAACAGAAAGGTCTGAGCAGGCATATTTGCACGATAATTTAGTCCTTTCAACTATTTGTTGATAATAGCCTGGCCACAATGATTCATGCATTGGTAAGCTCAATATTCTATTATTGCAATACGTTCTATGTGAGGTGGCCAGTGTGTCTGGTCCAGAAGCATCAGCTTCTGCAAAATGCCACAGCTAGACAGTTGGTAGGGACAAACTATTGCCATAACCTAAATGATGCTTAAAAACTTCTATTGGGAGCTCATACACTACTGAGCCAAGTTCAAGATTCTGGTATTAATTTACAAGGCCTGTAACAACTTGGATCTTGGGTACCTAAAGGACCACTTGATGCCTTTTATTGCTGCTTGATCACTGATGTCTTTGTGGGAGTCACTGTTACTGACGCATACAGTGACCCGGAACGCAGCACCCATGCAAACAGAGAGTTGCTTGTAGCAATTACATACACAAATGCTGATGTTGCTATCTCATCACAACAGGGAACATTAATCAGTACCAGGAAAAATACACAATTTGGCCACATCACACTCACTTGCATTTCACAGAAATTGCTTAGAAAGTACTTGCACATTTGCCCCATAACTTCAATTCTAGGTGGTATAGAGAAGTGCATCTTTTTTTTAAATGAAAGTTATGAGTCTGGGGGACTTTCCAGAGGCAGCAGTGAAAGCCTTCGTGGGGCACCATGGTGCCCATGGGTGCTGGGTTGGTAATCCGTGATTTAGTGTTACTTGTGTACCAGCCCACAGTCTTCATTTTTTATAGAGGCCTCTTTAAAAAGACAACAACACCTCAAGGCTTTTGCATCTGCCTGTTTTACAAAACATGCACACACTTTCAGATCTGGCATATTTAAGCAAAGTTATTACCTGCAAAGTTAGGGCTGCAATCCTGTGTGCACTTTGAAGTAAAGCCCCACTGAATTCAGAATGAAATCACTTCCAATTCAAAATATATAGAGCTGTGCTGCACAAACATTTGATATGGAACAATAATATTATAAAAATAGTTTCCCCCCCTATGTTAACTGGCTTTTCCTAACAAACCAATTTTACAAAACAAATGTGTGTATTCATAATATACAAAAACGCCAGTTTTTCTTTAAAAATAACCCCCATAATGAACTTGCAACCTCAGTTTGCCTGTTGAACTTAGCATTTTGTTTTATAGTATTGTTAGGAAACTTCATGCTGCTCCTTGCAAGTAAAAGCTAAAGTTGTTAATTATAGAAATTATTTTGTTTGTTTCTTTTCCAGAGGATAAATCCTTCTGCAGAAATGGTCATGATTGACAGGATGTTTAACCAGGAAGAAAGGCAAACTCTTTCCCGGGATAAACGCCTTGCAATAGTAGATCCTGGTAGGTAATGTAACCATTTTAAATGAAAGCATCTTAAGCTGCAGTCCTATACAAATAAACCTGGGTGTAAGTTCTATTGAACTCATTAGGTCTTACTTCTGAGTAGACATGTATAGACTAGCACCGTACCATACAGAGAAATGATTTTAATATTATAACAGTGGCTTTTTTGCCATAAGTAAAATTAGAACGCAGGAAGGATTTATATTTGTGAGTCAGACATAGAGATGCAACATCTGTGGAAACTTGGGTGCTGCAGGAAAAATACACCTTTTTTTTTTGATGGGTAGAGAGGAAACCCAATCATTTTGACATCTTTGTCTAACGTAAATCGCATTTATTTATTTATTTATTTATTGTTTTAAAAACTTTAAATACATTCTGCATGATTAAAGCTGCAATGTTATACCAACCTATCTGAGAGGAAGCCCAATTAAACTCAATAGGACTTGCTTCTAAGTAGATATGGGTAGGACCGCACTGTTAGCAGTTAATATACAAAACAGTGTTACATTTATAAAGTGAAAATGTATATATTAATTCAATAGCATTCAAATGAGCAATTCTGTCCAGAGAGATGGAACTCCAGTCTGTTACACTTTAAGTTGACTACACATACTTTTTTGCCAGTTTGCGAACAGAAATAAATAAAGTTGAAAACAAACCTAGTCAACAGTGGGTTGGTATAATCCTGGTTACCTGTAACCCCATGTGTCAGCGCATGCTTCCTCTCTCTGGAGCAAATTCCCTTTTTCTGGTCTTAATTGTAGTTAAGGGAAACAGTGGCCCAGGCCTTAACCATGGTTAATACTAATCTGAATTCCCCTTAGCTTAGGACCTGAAACCCACTAAAACCATATTTTCATACACATGCTTTAGTTATTCTATTCAATGGTCTTCAGCTAGTGGGCTGGGACCACAGCTGGGTCACAGCCAGACCTTGATTAGTGGGTTCCAACAGCAATACCATACCAATGTGGTAACAAAATTCAGAAGGGTCTGAAAGTGTGTAGGTCCTAATTCTGAAAAGATTGAAAGCTACTCCATTCCTTGTTTATCTGTCCATGATATGTCACAATTCTTTACTAAAACGATTGCTTTCAAATTTCAGATGGTTTTCTAGCAGACTTTTGTTGTCCATCCACACAAATTGACAAGATTGCTGATGAAACACAGCCGGCTGAAAGTGATCATCAATCTAACAAATCTTCAACGTCTCAAAACCAGACTGCTAATACCCAAATCAAAGACAGATCAAGTTCAAGCACAGCAGAGTCTTTAAATCACAGCAAACTTCAAGTAGTGCCTAACAATGTTATGAGTTCACAACAAGGAAACAGTTCTGTTAAAAAATCAGAAAGCCTTGCAAAAGCTTTAAAATTTGAGAAAACAAGCTCTTCTCCTGAAAGCCAACATATGGCTGATTCAGAACAAAAAATCGCTGGCAAAAATCCAGGAAAGTCAAATGAAAACTCTTTAGGTTCTGAAGATCATTCGTCAAAAACCTTATCAAGTGTAGATCATGGTACGCATAATAAAACATGTCGGAACACAGTTGATTCTCACTCAGAGACAACATATAATCATTCCCTCCAAGACAAAACTCCTCGGAGTTCTCCAAAGAATGAGGATTTGCATCCAGACAATTTGAAAGGTTCTGGGGAACCCCAAAAGGATTTGCTGCTCAATAAGAGTTTAGAGACTACATTCAAAAACATATTGGAACTGAAAAAGACTGGGAGGCAGCCACAGAGCGAAGCAACCGGCAGTGGCTCCCTAGAATTAGAATATCCAAACTTTTCGCTTATTTCTTCACAAGAAAACTGCCTGGAGAAATTTATTCCAGACCACAGTGAAGGTGTTGTAGAAACAGACTCTCTTTTAGAAGCTGCTGTAAATAGTATCTTAGAGTGTTAATAGTTACAGTACCATGGACATATTTCTCTTAGAAGTAAATGTGAATGACACCACAAGAACAGCCTGACAAATGTCAAAGGTTACCCTTTCTAAAGTAGATTCTGTTTTGTGTTTGAAAGCAATACTCATTGTGGTTACAGTGAGGTGTCCAGTAATGTAAACCCTTGAGAGAAAGCTGTCTGGTAGGGCCTACACATTATGATACAGCTTTGCTGATCGTTTTAACATTGCAGTTTAATGAAACTGCAGTTCACTAGGCCCTAAGTTAACATGGTAATATACTGACAATCACAGTCTAGTAACAGGTTTCTTAAATAAAATGTTAGGAATGTTGTATTTCATAGGAAAAGATCCATTGCCTCCACCCACTATCACTTGATTTTGAGATTTAATATTTGGGGCTAAAAAAATTCCCCAGTACCTCTATTTAGAAATGCCTATCTCTTGAGGTTTGGAACAGAGAGAGAGGAATTGGAAGGAGAGAAAATGGCATCAGTGTTTACAGGGCTTTATACTTTTAAAGTGCTTTTCTATGCTCAGTGAGCAGAAACAAGTATCTTACATAGGAATTTGCTGTATTGAATTACACTGTATAGTTTTTGTCACGTTCAGCACTGCGTAAAATGATACATGCTAGTCTAAGAAGCTAGTAGATGGGAAATTGTATACAAAGAGGCTATAATATAGCCATAAAATTCTGTATAGACACACATAAATGTATATATATAAACACACACACACACACACACACGTTTCATCAAGAAGAGCTTTTTCATTTTCTAATTGGATATAGTCAAACTTAATCTTTCTGATGTGGTATAATTTTTTCTAGACCAAGTGTCAAAAGCACTTTTATTTGGAAATCATTGTAGTAGTTTATACTTTAAGGAGATAATAGCCTTAATCTGAACAATTTAAAGGCCAGTGTTTGCTATTTGCTTATTTCTGCTTCTTGCAGTTCAAGAATGTCTGTCATCTGTAGCAGCAGTTATAGTTACCAAACTATGTACAAACCAAAGTTAATTTTCTATCCCATTAAAAAATTATAGGTTGAATTTAGAATTTGCCGTCCGCAAATTTGGACTTTGCCTTCTGTTCATGGAAGGCTTTTAATCCAGTGGAGGAGCCTGATGGCGGAGGAGGCTGCAACTTTTGCAGATTCTTCCTTCCTCCTACAATGCTCAGTACCATTTCCCAAATTGTTCCAAAGGGTTTCCCAACCCGCATCTGGAGTGGATTTTCATAGGGCTGCAGGGGAAGGGATAATCAGGAAATGTCACTTCTTCTGCATCAACCAATGGGAGAGTCCCTGAATCCAAGCCTATCTCTAAAGGCATTTAATACAAGATCTAGAGCCAAAGGAACCCCTAGCATGTTTGGATTTGGCTAGTTGTCATCACGACAATATAATTATTTATTATTTTAACCCATGGCATTTCCCCATTCTTCCTGTGTGTTTCAGAAATTATTCTACCACCATCACCAGTGCTTCTAGGTACATTGCTTTTGTGCCATTAGTAAGAGGGATGTGGCATGTATGCCTACTAAAAAATAAACTCCAAGAGGTGTGCTTTTTGTAAAGCAATCTCTCTGCAGCTTCCCCTTACAACCATATTCAAAAGCTTCCTTATGGATATCGTCATAGCCTTAGAGCCCTGAGGTGCACCAGCCTCGACCCAGTGGTAACTGTGTGCATACAGAGGTTTGGAATTCAAGCATTCTCAGTACTGTTTTGGGGAGCTTCCTCTTCCATGCTTGTGTGGAGCTCCTTGGAGCTGTGTGACACAGCAAGAGTAACAAACTGTGGTTGTCAGTTGGATTGCCCAGATAAAGGGCGGAATTTTGCTTTCTCCGCTCCAATTTTATTGTAGCGTTAGAGCCATATTCTGCTCTTTAAGTAAACACAAAACACTACCACCGGCCTTGTGTTGAAATGGAATAACTATAGAATAATAAAAGATAAACAAATTCAGCAAAATAGTAATACAACTTAATGTTCTGTTGACTCTTAATAGGATTAGAAAGATGGGGGGCTTTAAAATTTTGTTTTTATTACCACTTTTTTTAAAGTGCCAGTTTTAAAACTAAATATTTGTGAAACCCCACATTCCACGAAGACAGCATTGCCACTTTGGTTCATTTTTGTAGGCATGGGTCCTGTAGTTGCTTTCTTGTCAATGATAGTGCAGCAGCTACCTTTCTATCAAAGATGCTGCAAAGAATAATTCATTGAACTGTAACCATAATGAGATGTCTAAGAAAGCAGGGTGTATGTTGCACCAGTCACAGAAATCAATTGATCTAGAATCTGATTGGAAGAATGATAAATTTGACACATACTTGTAAATTTGTCTTCTTTTGGTTTTATCTCACAGAATAAAGTTTCTTATCAGCTGTACAGAATATTCTGAACCTAAATACCAAAACAAAGCTTACACATTTTGAATATGATGTGAGAGTTTACTTTTAGATAAAGGTTTAGCTGAGACATCTGAAATGCACTTCCATCATATGTGGATTAAATTCCACCTATATTGATTCCAACATTTATGCTGGGTACCCACTGAACAAAGTTCAGCTAAATTAACCTACGGTAGCTAATGTATTTTATTTATTGAACTTGGTTTTAGAGCTCTGAATATTTTAATTGGTAATGCAGTAAAAATATTTTTGTTGTAAAAAAAAAAAGTGTGAATTTGTTACGCAGCACATGGTCCTGAATCCAGTGAAGACCATTTATTTGTGCATAACTGCTTTGTAGGATTGGTCTCTTTACTTCCTGGATGTCTTTCCATGTTGTCTAAGGTTAAAAGAAAATTTTAGTTGGCAACTATGAAAAAAACAACCTGATTCAACAATGTCAGCATAATTGAGCTGTTAGATTTGGGAGGCCTTACAGACTGACTTTACTGAAAGAGGATGTGTCACTTGTTGTCAGTGTGGTATGGATTTTATTTGCTTAAATACTTTTCATTTGTATAGTATGTCTCACTTGAAATTGCTTTGTATACATTTTGTAAAAATATTTATAAAATGTTTTGTAAAAAAAAGTATAACAAATTGCAGTTTATTTTGTTATGTTGGATAAATACTGTTAAAAGACAACACGTTGGTAAAATATATTGTTAACCCATGGATAGGAAATGTTTAGCTGGAGACTACGAATTGAAACAACCATTGCAATACAGCCAAAGATTTGGGAAAAATGTGTTATCTGTGATTGTCTTGATTTACCCAAGATTAATAACTAGGTTTTGAAAAGGATTTCTTTTTTAGTTTCAAGTATCACAGTGGCAGTATATTTTTATTACATTTATATCCTGGTTTTCTCCCAAAATGGTATTAAAAATAAATATATACGGATTTCTAAGTGGATTCTCAGCTAGACACTGATCAGACCAAGACCTGCGTAACTTAATTCATAGGCTTTAGATATTCTCCAACAGAGCTGGAAAAGGTTCAGAAAGGGACAGCAAAATTGATCCAAGGGCTGGAGCAGCTCTCCTGTGTGGAAAGGTTACAATATTTTGTACTTCGGGAAAAAGAAGAGATTAGGTGGAGACAAGACCTGTCTGTAAGATTTTATACACGGTACAGAGAAAGAAAGGTTTTCTTTCTGTCTGTTAATTCAAGCCATCTGATGAAGCCAAATGTTGAAAAATCCAAGACAGAAAAAGTACCTTTTCATGCTGCATAATTTGTTGAAATTTGTGGAAGATGCAGTGATGACCCCCACGTTGGATGGCATTAAAAGAGGATTAGACAAATTCATGGAATAAGGATATGTTTTGCTTCTAACGTTGGAGGCAGCGTATTGCAGTATAGCAGTGGGACTTGTAAGTAAGAACCTAAGAATGCAACCAAAGTTCTGTGTCAGGCTAAAGACCCATCTAGTCCAATGTCCTGCTTTCATGACGCCAACCCAAGGAGGGGAGAGGGCTGTTTCACTTGGTTCCTGTTTGTGGGCTTCTCATTGGCAAGTGGTTAGCCAATGTGGTGACAGGATGGTGGACTAGAAAGGCCTTTGGCCGCCAGATCCAGTAGGGCTCTTTAGTCTTAGCACTTCTCATAAGCGCTGGGGAAATACACAAGAGTGGCTGGGGAAACCCAGTCGGATGGATGGGATATAAATATGATGGTGATGATGATGATGATGATGACCCATTCCTATTCTCATACAAAGGATTTCTGTCCACCTTGCAGCATCACATGCTGCTGAATAGACCTTTCTGATCTGCTATATGTATTCATTTATTCATTCTACAGCAGTCATCCCTTCACTGGTCTTAAAAGGTGAGGCAATATAGTTATTTAGGCCAAAGAACTACTTGTCTGACAACATTTCACCAACTGTTTAAAAATTAACCTCACCAGCTGGGGTATGTGAAACGGCAGTTTGTGCCTCGTCAAGGCCTCGTCGTTCACCCACCATCGCCCCGGTCTTCTTAATATTAATATTATTAACTTATTTCTTAGCCGTCCTTCGCCAAGAAGCTGCAGGGCTGCAAAATATTGTGTACAAAAACACAACATTTAAAAACTGAAGCAAGCGGCAGTCACTGCGAAGGACCACAAGGGGCAGAATGGGGGCAGAGTGCTGTTGCAATCACATCCTCCTTGCGGGTGTGAGCATGGCCGTCTTAAGCATATCTGGCGCCATGATGCAAAGCTCCCTCCGGCGCCCCCTGCCCCGTTTCCCATAGTTTTTTAGGGAGGATAGTGCTGCCGGTGGGGCTGGAGGAGGTGAGCAGCGGCTGGAGGGCAGCTCCTCCAGCGGGGAAGAGGCAGAGGCTGGACGTGGCCCCTCCATGTCAGCTGGCCCCTTCGTACCGCTGTGGCCACGGCAGACGGAGGCTCCGGGTGTGGTGCTGCTTCGGTGTGGCATGGCAGAGACGGGCGCGGGTGGTGAGCTGATGCCAGGAGGTGCCGCATCCAGCCTCCGCCTCTTCCCTGGTGCCCTCCAGAACTTGGCGCCCTGGCGCCCCACGCCACTAGCCTCTATGGGTAAGATGCTCCTGGGGGTGTGATCGGTCACTGTGGGAACAGGACGCTGGACTGGACGGGCCATTGGCTTGATCCAGCCGGCTTCTCTTATATTATGTCAACAGGCATTGTTGACAGACAAGACAGGCAGCTTCTCCCTGTGGAACAGCTGGAGAAGGCAGATAATAAACAGCTGGGAAGAAGCTATTAGACTTGACATTTCACAACTCCTTATAATTCGGGAGGGAAGGAGTAGAGGGGATTGGCTGGTGTACCGTTGGAGCAACAAGAAAGCAGGGAGAAAATGCCTGGGTGAAGCTGGAGCACCCGGCTGGATGTGGGGAGATGAGTCCTGCTGCAGGCTATGCTTCATTACTGGGCAGCCGACTGGAAGGCGGACAGAGGAACTTGGGGGCCTAGTGAGCTACAGGCCAGGCCTGAAGAAGTTAGCCCTTCTCTCACTCTCTTTTTAATATATATTTTTATTAATTTTTTAACATGCAAATTCCAACCATCATTTGATGTAACTTTTCTTATATAATATTTTGGACTTCCGTCAACAACCTCTGAAGATTTTCCGTTCTTTATCACTTGTTCTGCATTTCTTAATTTCTCTATTACTTTTAATTGTCCTTAACTAATAATTCTTTTCAAAGTCTTCCTTGCAATATTTCACAAAGTCCTCCTTACGGAACTTCTTGCAGTCCTACTAGCGTAATCTGGTTATCATAATTGCTTTTCAAACAGTTCAAATATTTACTCCAGTCCTCTAAGAATCTCTGATCCCGCAGGTTTCGAATCCTTCCAGTTAATTTATCTAATTCTGCATAGTCCAGAAGTTAGCCCTTCTCAATCCACGAAGCAGGAAAGCTAGAGTTGCCATATGTCTGGAATTTCCCGTACATATCCAGAATATTGCAGTTGGAAGCAGTGTCCAGGCAAAAATCACTAAGATGTCCAGGAAAATCTGGACATATGGCTACCCATGTCGGCAATGTCATTTGAGGCAATTTCCCTTAAAAATAGCTGGAAAACGTCTTTTTGAAGATGCCTGCCTAATATCAATAGGCAGGGAGTTCCAGAGAATAAGTCCTGCCACACTAAAAGATTTATTGTAAGGCTGAATGAACCTCTTGTGGGGCATGCAACTGTTAAAGCTTCAGGGGCTGTTTCTTCTGTTGCAATCCCTGAATGGGGTAACTGTGCCCCTGAAGGACCAGGTGCGCAGCCTGGGAGTCATTTTGAACTCACAGCTGTCCATGGAGGCGCAGGTCAATTCTGTGTCCAGGGCAGCTGTTTACCAGCTCCGTCTGGTATGCAGGCTGAGACCCTATCTGCCTGCAGACTGTCTCGCCAGAGTGGTGCATGCTCTAGTTATCTCTTGCTTGGACTACTGCAATGCGCTCTATGTGGGGCTACCTTTGAAGGTGACCTAGAAACTACAACTAATCTAGTTACATGGGTGTAAAGGAATCTTATTATGGGACTCTCTGCCAAGATTTGAACTGGTATCTAGCTCGCGTGCTACCGCATCTTTGGGAAGATCCACTGAATTGCATCTACTGACTGATCAGTATCCTACTTGCAGCAAATTAAGTACAATAATCAAGGAAACAGCCATTCATATGAGGAAGCCTCAGATAAATAAACTGCTTTATAGGGAGAGGTGGGGGAAGGAAATTCCGTACAGGACCTGCAGTTGATGAAGCATTTTCAATGAATTCAGCATCACTCTATTGCCATCTGCTGGCAAGTGGCAGGTTGAACATCGTTCATTCTCTTTAAGAACGTTAAGTCACTTTTCCAGACTGTCAATATTTTGCTGAAGGATTTCAGCACACTTTAATGTTTGCACAAGTCAAGCGGATCAAAGTGCCGTGTTGCCTGCAGCAACCAAGCCACATTAAAAAACAAAAAACCTGACTTTTGTGGGTTTGAAATGTGATGGGGAAATGAGGAAGTGTGGGATGAACGAAGGACTAATGGTGAGGTGTGTAAACAGCACACAGTCAAATCAGGATGAATGCTCCTTGTATAATAAGCAGAAAATCCTTGGAAATTTCACTTTCCCAATTTTTGCAATGCAGTTCTCCAGCCAAATAATGTGTGCAAGAATGTATATGCTAAGGTAAAATGTGCCTATAAGTACGTATATTAGTGAAAATACCATAAAAAATGGATTGAATTAGGGGAAATTGCTTTGCAAAAAAAGCACATATCAGCAAAATTGCATACAAACTAATGTATAGTAGGAGAAATCTGACTAAAATTCTGATTAATTTTTAGCAGGAAGATTTTTTTAAAAAAAGCATTGCAAACCGATGTGGAAATGTGGAGAACTGAACTTAAATTTGGAAAAATGAGAAACGGAGAGAAAGCGAAAAGATAAATGCTACTGGTGGCCAGTTGGATTACTGGTAAATAGGTAAAGGTAAAGGGACCCTGACCATTAGGTCCAGTCGTGACCGACTCTGGGGTTCCGACGCTCATCTCGCTTTACTGGCCGTGGCAGCTGGCATACAGCTTCCGGGTCATGTGGCCAGCATGACTAAGCTGCTTCTGGCAAACCAGAGCAGCGTAGGGAAATGCCGTTTACCTTCCCGCCAGAGCAGTACCTATTTATCTACTTGCACTTTGACGTGGTTTCGAACTGCTAGGTTGGCAGCAGCAGGGACTGAGGAATGGGAGCTCACCCCGTCGCGGGGATTTGAACCGCCGACCTTCTGATCAGCAAGCCCTAGGCTCTGTGGTTTAACCCACAGTGCCTGGTTGTTTATTTGCACTCTCTGCTGCCTTTCTGAACTAAAAATCAGGAAACAATTTGCTGTGAACTCTATAAAAACTAGGTTGGCCTCGCTATTAGAAATAATGATACATAAGTTTTTTGTCTGTTGAACCAAAGAAGATTATCTATCCATCCACAATTGATGCAGGTTTATTTGAGTTTTCAATCTTACCACTAGAGGGAGAAACTATATTACCTTTTGACAAGCTGCATACTGTAGATATAAAAATGTTGTTTATACCAATCTTTGCCTGTTTTGAATTTTTAGAATCAGAGCCAGTTAATATGCATTATATGTATTTGTTATTCACTACAAAAAATGTTGCATTCAATACCTAATTGAAATACATCAAAATATTAAAGAATATATATTAACTGAACGTGCTCAGTCTGCAATAGCATAAAAAGGGCACATCTGACTTCACACAAGTAAAAGAT